TATGTGAAGACACCTGGGAATTTTATTTTAATTAAATGTGGTTGACTGGCAACCAGTCCATGATGCACCTAATCTCTCTCCGGGAATCCGATGGGATTGACGCCAGCTCACCCATAATGACTGCCATCGAAAACGGAGGGATGGATTGAGTTGATTTAAATTGTAAGAAAGTCTAAAATAGTCTCTTTATCTTGCACTGTATTGACAAGTCTTTTAAACTTTCCAATATTTCAAATCGCACACTTCTCCTTTCATCTTTGGCGTTCCGCAAAGTTCTATCCTGGGGCCGCTTTTTAGCATCCATCTATCTCCACCTGTTTGTATTTTCCACAAACTCATTAACCTTCAGTGTTCGGAAGGCTTTGGGAAGCGTGTGACAACTTGGGGACTTTTATTACTTGAGACATGTCAGATGTCAAATTTGAACCACTTTGTCACAGGAAAAACATCCAGGTCTCATATAGTCAAAAACCCCTCAAGCAGTTTCGGTCTGAATGAAAAAATTTGAAAGCTAAATAATTGCATGTGTCGTTCAAACGACTTCCATCCAGCTACTGCGTCTCAAGCACATGACTTGCTGGTGGTTAGAAAGGATGTGACACTGTTGAATACGATACCACTCTCTGTGTGCAACTGGCAGCCAGTCTGTGAAGAAAAATTACAACATCTGCCAGTGGAGACACTTGAAGCTCCGCAACCCAAGTGGGGTTGAGGGGGAATTAGAATCAAACCACATGAGTTGATTTGTCATATTGTGTTTAAAATATGACGCTCACATATGGAATTAAGCTCGAAATCGGTGGCAAACAAAAAGTCTGTTGCTTCAAGATTAGCACTAAAGGCGCTGAGTGGAAATAAAAGTAATAGGGATGGAATGTCCAGCTCTGGCCCCCCACCCCCATGCGACAAACCTGATTAAAATGATCAACTCATTGGCATTTGAATCAGGTGTGCTGCAGGTGAGACACATCTCAAGCATGTAGGACAGCGGGCGACCTTGAAAACCAAGTTTGGTCACACCTGCAAAAGGGGTCCTGCGTTGCTCTGAAAACAATCTTAAAGGTTTTAGTAAAACCTGCTTTACAATTGCACTAGCTATGACCCTCTTAAGAAAAACCAGAGGCCCATTGAATTAAAACAAGAATGTAGTATACAGGAATTGTTTTCTCGCTTGGTCATTTTGGAAATATTACAACAAAGGACAAGTGGAATGCGGCCTTTGTTATTCTGCGCACTTTCGCTGACTAAAACTTTGTAAATACCTGACACTCAACTCGACGCACTCAAGATGGGAACACTGTGCCCGGACGTGGCAAGCGTCCTCTGGATCAGACGAGGAGATGAACGGGATTGAGCGTGTTTTCAGGAAAAGTCCCAGGGTTGGATTGGAAACTTGGCTAGGAAGGGCTCAAGGAAGGATCGGCGGATCAGATAAAGCCAAGTCAAAGTACAAACTGTGAGCACGGTGAGCGGGAATAAGGAAGAGCGGATTTTAGGTGTCGGCATGGAAGGGATGAAGAGGATAAGGAGGAAGCACTTGAAGGAAACTCATTGTCAAGAGTTGAGGTTTTAAGGTGTTTTGGGAACCTGTTGACAATGTTTTAAAGTGGAGGGGAACAAAAGTGCTCAAAAGTGAAAAAGCTGTAAATCATGTCAATACCTTTAAATGGAAGCATGTGGAGCAGCTCAAGCTTGGTTCTTATTTCAAATAATGCATAGTGATAATCATCATTGTGGTGTTGAAATATTACTGTAAAGAAAAAAATCTGTCACTATTATTCATGTGGATGAGGCACCCAAACGCGCCTGACGATAAACAGGGGCACTGCATATTCGAGTGGAGGAAGTATTCAGAAAAAAGAAAAAAAAAGAAAGAAAAAATGGACTTGACTATCAATATCACCTATTTTAGCTGCAGTGTTTTTTGTTTTAATCCGGTGGCGAGTATGATGCACTCGATAAATTGTGGCTCAGCATCGATTAGAAGAAACAGTCTGACTTTGTGCATGAAAGTAATCTGTTCCAGGTGAGGCATTTACTGATGCAATTTGTACGCGCTGTGGTTCTTTTTTCAAGTAGCAGACGACCCGGCAAATGAATTGGGGTATGGCAATTGTTAGGGCGGAGGGCACTTTTGGAAAATATGTTTTGTGTGCATCAAGATTGTCTAGTTTAGTTTTTGTGTTTAGTTTTTAAGTGGAGAAGGTCCCCACTCATTAATTGGAGCACAGCGTATGTTAGAACGGAGATCCCAACTGAAGAATTCGAGTGTAATGGATGCCATTATTTGAGGAAATACTGTGAGTGAGAATAAGAAGACTGTCGAAAATAAGTGCAAAGTTTCATGAAGTGGACGTTGCACCCAGCATTATGTTGAGTAGGGCATGTATTAGCGTGGAGGACACTATCGAAAACAAACAGTATTGCATGCATCAAATTTGTCTATTTCAGGTTCAGTGTGTCTTTATTCAAACGGCCGACACACCTGACGATTAATTGAGAAATGGCATCTATTAGAGTGGAGGACACTAATAGAGGGAATTCTGGATAATTATGTCTGGGCATCAATGTTGTTTATTTTAGGTACAGTGTTGCTTGATTCAAGTCGACCTTACATCTGACAATTAGCTAGCCATATGGCATTCATTACAACAGAGGCCACATTTATAATTGTCTCCATGTTTTTAGTAGCAGCGATTCTTTGTTCGAGTACATGATGTGCCCAGTGATTCATTGGGGAACAACATCTTTCGAAATGAAGAGTCGAGGAAATCATGTAAATCAAAATTGTATATTTTAGGTGCAGTGTTTCTTTATATGAAGTCGCGGAAACACCTGCCGAGTAACTGAGGCGCGGCATCTGTTAGAGCGGAGGCCATTTTTGAAAAAAAAAAAAAAAACATGGAATGTGTGTATCAAGATTCTCTAAGGTGCAGTGTTTTTTTTTTTTTTTTCAAGGAAAGATGCCTCCGATAATTTATGGTGCACGGCATCTCTTCAAGCGGGGGCACTATTTCTTTTTAATACATCCACTATATCATCTAAACATGTATTTAAAGGCATGAAAACCTGGGAAATAAATCGAAATCAGCTTGGTATTTAGCTATAAACATTAAGACATCCATAAGTCATGTCAAGACACCCAAAAGTTCTTTAGCGTGTCAAAAATGTCCACGTTTAGGGAAAAAAAAAGTAGCGTGGCGGGGAAAAAGATGAGGATTAATATTATATGAAACCCTCCACTGTGTTCCCGGAATAAAAATTGTTTTCTCCCCCCCCCTTCTCTCTCTCTCTCTCACACACACACACACACACACACATACACACAAGTGGTCTTATTAAGCAACTACATCTGTGTAACAGGAGAGTTTGTCCTTGACGGAGCCAAGAGGGGATGACTGATAGCGTCGCACTTCAATGCGAGTCCATGAGTCAGCGTCTTAACTAATAGAGCCGATGAAACAAACGCGCATACGTCCAAAGGCTTTCCTCCATCGGCTCGTTGCTTGGCTGGCTTTTTTGAGCAAAAAGTGACAAATGGAAAGGGAAACGCTCCCAATTATTGCTAAATAACAAGCATGTCAATGGGACAGCTGAAAGGTGTTTCTGTAAGTGAGCTGGGAGTTTTGGTACCTGACTGTCTTTGCCTTTTGATACAGTAAACTCCTTCATGTTCGCAGTTTGGCATTCAGGATTTTTGGGGGAACCTACAGTGTCCTCCGGTTTTGCTGTTTTGTGCCCAGGCCAAAGCCAGGTCGAATACTGTATATAAATGTTGCTTTGATTCCATCTGGTGACATCTTTGGGGTTTAATGAATCCTATTGAAGTGGGGGAAGAAGTTTTATACCAGTGGTCCCCAAACTACGGCCGGCGGGCCGCATCCGGCCCGCCTCCGCATTTGGTCCGGCCCCCTGAAAATACCACAGAGTATTTTGATTTATTTTTCATCGATATGGATTTGTCTTTGATCATAAAGTTGGGCTTTTGCAATAAAATGTTCCTTAGTTCTGAACCGTTTTCATTATTAACTATTAATTAGTAACTATTTCATAAACACAGATACAATAAGGTGACATTTGGTGCATCTTTCTGTGCCGTTATCTGGCAACGCCAGAAAAAAAAAATCCGAAACCGGCCCCTCTCTCAGAGAACGGGATCATGGCGAAAAGGTTCGGTAAGAGAAAAATAGAATGCAGGGTATTTAACCCAAAGTGGACAAACGATGTTTTTGTTTTTGTTTCTTTCAGCGCAAAGAAACGTCTGTCAGTCTCATCTGTCAAGAGGCGGCTTCATTTTGTGTGGGTTTCTGGAAAACAATCCATTTTTACATTTCCGTACTCTTGCGGTCACCCTTTTTCTGTTCCAGACTGACCCCGGCCCCCCCATCACAGAAGCGAAAGCTTATGCGGCCCTCACAGGAAAAAGTTTGGGGACCACTGTTTTATACCCTTATCAAATGGAAAGGTTGTGATTTGCCGCCATCTCGTGGCATCTAGAGGCAATTGAAAATCATTTTGGGTGGGTGCAGCTAATGTAAGTCTTTGAGTTACAAACAGTTCACCTACGCATATTCGTAGATACGATCCAACCCCTGACTCATAAATGGTCGTAAAATGCTGCATTGCCTTCAGAAGTTCACAAATTCCACATCCAACTGTAGTACCACTTTCTGTCACAACCCACGCCAAGAAGCACCCCTCCACCGCACGAGTGTCTCAGAACGCAATGTGTTCGGAATTGTAGGCACTTCTTGTTCTCACGGCAGGGCCTTAACTTTCATGAATTGTGTGGGCCTCCTGTACCACCACAATCATGGTGCAGTCACAATACAACACAAATACGATACAAAAACAAAACATAACACCATACAACTGTGCCAGGTACATCACCGGGAGCAGTTTAGAATGCTGCTGTTTGCCTCTTAACTCGAACACGTAAGAGGGAACATATTCTTATTCCTTGGCGTTCAACACAGCACAATACTTGAGCCCTTATTTTAGTGTCTCATTTGTTTTTATTTAACATTTTCACTCTTTCACTGTTGAATATTATGTGCTGTTTGATTGTCATGTTTTATGTTTTATTTTTTTATGAGCATCATTTTGGGGACATTGTTCTCTTTTAATAAAAGTAAGTTGAGTTTCGCTTAAAAAAAACGTCATCAATGTGAGGACAAATTTGAAAACTGATTGTTCAAGAAACAGATGCTTTGCTAATTCAGTTTGAGTTACAAGGGGCTAGAGTTTCATGGAACAAACTGAATTTAGATTGGAAATGTAGGTTAGTGATTCTGATAGTGTTTCAACCACTTACAGCTGTTTTTTTTACATTTCACTTGAATTTTCTTTTTCAGAAAAAAAAAATACAGCACCGCTGAGGCACAAAGAGTGCGACGCTGCAGGCTCGTCATTTAGTGCACAAGCCCATGTAATCAAGCACGAACACAATGTAAACTCAATTTGTGGCTGTAACGTGATGCCATTCTCCAAGGCAATGAATCGCAATGCACAAGAGTTTGAAACGACTCTTCTACTGCGAGGTCACATGTACTTCTCAAACTCAACATTTAAATCAAATAATCCAAACATGTACGTGGAGCTGAACGGGGCAAAAAAAAAAAAAAAAGAGTTTACAAAGGCCTTGTCGGCTTTTCCTCTCCCAGGATATTAATGAGGAAATGACGCACAAAAAGAAAAGAGGGAATGAACGATGAAGGATTCAGGGGGACGAGGGCCGGTGATTAATCCTGCAAAGAGTCGACTCCACTGGGAATTCCATCAAAAGGAGGGAGGGGGGGGGAAAGGAGGTTTTAATTGCCGATCCCCTCTCCTTCCACGTTTCCCAAATCGCTTACCTACCTTCATGCTCCCGCCTTCCTGGGCATGGTAGTTGAATGGCGCCCTCTACAGGCCCTGGTGCTGCCTGTTATCATTAACAATAGGTAATCTCACGTCCCAAGCTCAAAAACACACACACACACACACACACACACACACACACACACACACACACGAAAAATTACTTTCAGATGTGGAATGAAGTGCAATTCTATAGGTGTCTATGCATGGTCTTAAAACCACCTTTAAATCTTTAGATACATTGTCCTTATTCCTGCATTCAGACACATGGTACCAGTGGTGTTTAAGGGGAAGGTGTTTTTATTTCAGGGGGAGAATCATATTAAATACTACAAAATATTTGTGTGTTGTCGCCATGACTTCTGCTGTAGCACCTGGTTGTTTGTCATCGTAAAGGCAATTACACGCTATCCTGAGAGGGGAAAAAAGAGGTGTCTATTTGAGGCGAGCCATTTATTTATTCAAGTAGAACTGCTAATTCATAATGGACAGTTTCTATTACAGGAATTGCCACAATGATTGTGATTGTCTATTTTAACTGGGGTGTATATTTTTTCAAGTGGGGGACCTACCCAACAATTAATCGGGAGAATTAGAGCGAAGACCACTCCTGAAGGAAATATGGCGTGCATCAAAATTTCAGTGTTTCTTTATTCAAAAGAACAATGTCGCTGATGTTTAATTGGGGTATTATTTATGTAATCATCATGGGCTGTCACTTATATGGCGCTTTTCTACCTTTCGGGACTCAAAGTGCTGCATCATCATTTTCCTACTGATGACACAGTATCAGGAGCAACTGGGGGCTTAGTATCTTGCTCAAGGGCACTTTAACAAGGTCGCAATGGCCGCGGATTGAACTCCCAACCTCTGCGTTGGGAGGTAACCGCTCTACCACTGAGCCATGCCACCACTCATCTAACTTAGGTGTGTTGTTTCATTATTCAAATGACAATGCAGCCAATTATGATGATACGTATAAGGGAATGGTGACTATTGGAGCAAGGACAAGTACATGCAGTAAAGGTTTACAATATTTTAGACCGAGTGGTTCTGTTTGTGTCAAGCATGCCAGGCACATGATGAAAAATTGAGGCAGTGCTTCTCTTCGAGCAGGGACCAATTTTAAAGCAATGTTACACATATACGTCCAGATTGTAAAATGTGTTTTTGTCTAATGTATTCAAGTTGATGAGGGACACAGTAATACAGCAAGGTGGGGATTATTTTTGAGTGCCGGCTAAAAAAAATATGTTGTATGTAAAAAAATTTATTCAAGTAGACAATGCACCAGAATATTAGAGAAATAGCGTGGAGACTACTATTTGACTAAATGTGTTGTCTATTTTGAATTCTGCGTATATTCATTCAAGTGCAGGTCACTATTTGAGGAACTTCGCTATATGTATGTATTTTAGGTGGATTTTCTTTTTAATTCTTTTTTTTTCAAGTGGACAAGGCACCCGGTAATTCATGAGGGCACAAATTCTCCTGTTACACAAATGGAGTTGCCAGGGGCCACTTTTGAAGAAAAATGTGCATCAGGATAGTGTATTCTCAGTGTGGTGTTTCTCTATTCATGTTGATGACACTATTTGAGAAACTATATGGTCTACGTATGCATTAAAAACTGTGTCGTTTAGGTGATGCATTGATTTATTCAAGTGGTTGATGAACACAAAGATTAATTGAGGCACATGGCAGGGCCTTTATTTGAAGAAATAGGGTATGGATGTTTGCCTACAAGATCCCCACCTGTGTCCACTTAGCATCTAATCCAGGATCTCTCTGGAGCAAAGCTCCGCCCGCCCCCACTCGATGTGTTGATAACCTGACACAAGTGCTCATGCCCGTTGACGGCCGGCCAATTCGGATTTTTTATGGCTTCAAGTGCCAGGGGAGAGTTATCCCACCATGTCTGCTGGACATGTTTTATCCCCGAGATGGAGTGAATGTCAAAAAGCAGCCAAGGGACCCATCAAGGCTTCTCAAACTAAGCCCCCAACTAATAAAATTGAAGAATAGTTTCAATTTAGCCAGTGTTTAACATGATAAGCTTGAAGCTCCACTGTAGGTCAGATTTGTTTAAGGAGATGTCTCGTGAACGTTATTCTTAGTGATAAGGTATTTTACATTGTCTCTCAAGAAACACTCCAATAATTCACAAACATGACACATAAATGTAAATTTTGGCCACAAAAAAAGCCATATTGTGACATCACTTTAAATCAGTCAGAATTAAGGATTTAGCATGTATTACCTTTTGTACAGTTACTTGATTTGTGACATCACTTTAAATCAGTCAGAATTAAGGATTTAGCATGTATTACCTTTTGTACAGTTATTTGATTTGTGTAAAATTCTACTAAATTGAAAAGCTGTGAAAAAGCACCTCATTTCATCAGGTGCGATAGAAAATGCATGCATGGATGGATGGATGGATAGAGCAGATACAGTACATTAGGTGTAACACAAGGCTCAATCCTTATACCACTGTTTTTACCGACTTTCAGTCAAACAGCAAGCCTCTTGCCAAAAGTCAGCTGGAATAAGATCCATCTTAAAAGCACCATAGAAAATGGATGCACAAATGTTCTTCCAATTTTAACAAGAATTCCCATTTTTTTCTCACTAGAGTACAGAATATTTGTCCCCCCCACCCCCAAAAAATTGAACAAATACTAGAATTGGGGTTTTAAGGTTGTAAATGTAGGTCAGTACTTCTGATAGGGTTTAGCCCTACAGAGAAGGCCTTGCTCAACCCCTCCAGAAGCCGATGATAACCGGTGATAACTTGTGACGTCATTATCGTCCAATAAATCTGTTTTTCAACAAGAAAAACCAACATCAAGGTATATGACTAGACAGGCCATCAATAACCACGAGTCCTGTCTTCTTAGGTCAAAGATGACATGTTGCTTTGTCTTCAGATCAAACAGAAGAGGGGCAGGGGGTCTCCAATGGGGAGATAAGATATGGGGGTTTGATTTCACAATCTGGATGGATGACTTTCACAAACCTCTTTCAGACGACAGCAGCACACGGCGGGGACGTACCCCCTCGTACAGCGTCATATGGCCTTTGTTAGTACCATTTGATGTCCATTAAAAGCTGTTCGAGAGCCTGCTGTTGAAGAAGAAAACTTGTTGGAGTCGAAAAGGCATGGTACATCTTTCTCACATGATAAAGTACTGCAAGCACTCACAGTCACTCATCAACATTCTGCTTGATTTTTGTATTTCTTGGAGCATCATAGAAGCAGGTTGTTATCTGAGCCTTTTGGGAGGGCGATATCATCTGCTATGGAACGTTGAAGATCACATTCCAAACATAGATCAGAGGAGAACCGGGAAGGAAAAGTGTTATGAGTGTAACATATTGCTTGATATACATTCCAGATAACGTTGTGGGATGGGTGCGGACCGGGCTGAGCTTTTTTTTCCCAACCAGCAGAAATGTGGAAATATGTTCCTGTGACGAGTTAGTAGTCAATAGCACAAATGGCAAGCACTTTACTGGTTTAACCGGGGAGAGTCTCCATTTTAAGACTTGTGTGCCAAGTCCTGGGGAATTTCGACAGCCTCATTTTTTTGTCCGACTTTTACGGAGGTCCCATCCTGGCTTCCTGGTTTATTCTTTTTAGTCCTGTAAACTAGCCTATGTGACTGAGCAAAAAAGATGGATAATGGTGAATGCTTGCAGGCATGGCTCCAGGATTTAGCTCTCTCCCAGGGCTCAAAGGGAGCTTGACCAATACAAAGGGGGACTGAGAAAATAATTTATGATTATATTTTACAATATCAAATAAAATGCTGGCGGGGCTTAAGTGGGGCTACACAGATTCCTGACGGTACTAAAGCCCCCTCTGGCTCCGGTGTAGCGCCATCCCTGGTGCAGTGACTTGTTTAGCACTGTTTAACTGATAGAATTTAGCATAAAAGTCATAACACAATCAGCGATTAAATTTGATATAAATAGCTCCTGGTGAGAATTTATTTTGTATTTGATTTTCAGCGAAATTGGAGTGTCCCCGTTTTTAATTTTGAAAATCTAGTCACCCAAATCTGGCTCTGTGCGAAAATGTCTTCAAGCACATTTGTCTTTTTAACCAGCTCCGAGCTAGATAAAAAATTGTAACCTATTGTCTCTGCTTCGCTTCCCTATCTGCTTCAAAACAACAGAGGGAATGCTGGGTGCTATGCTAACTCTCCCAGAGTCCTCACCAGCTATGAGCTGCTGCTGGCTCGCTCCACAGCTAAACCGTGTCCTTTCCTGGAGTGCAGTCAGTCCAATTCACTTATTCCTCTGTGGCCAGTAAAGTTATCACAAAAGGCCTACAAGAAATAAGATACAGGATAAGATGGTGAACCCATGCTCACCACTAAACTAATGTGAAGTGACAATGATTGCGTGTAACTCTGTGAGCAGATTGCCATGTATTGTCCCCCATACACATACGATAAATTAGAGGAAAACAGATAACACATGGAACTGCGATACACGAATGACTCATTTTACAAATGAGATTACGTACAAAATTTTCGAGGAAAAAAAAAAAAACAACCTCTGTGAACAGACTATTGGCATTAAAGCGGCATGCGGGTGGTTATTTTGTTAATTAGCCTCAATATTGCAACATAGTGGGACGAAAATGACACATTCTCTGTCACTTTTTCAGAAATAAGCAGATAAAGAATTACTTGGTTGTTTAATTTTATACGTACTTGATGGGTGGGCAAGAACTCTAAATTCAACTATTTGTATACAAGACATGAAAAAGTCTCATTTGGTTTGGCTACCTTAATTAAAAAAAGTTTTCACAAGGTTCAACATATTCGAAGTCAACTGTTACCAGACCATGAAAAATGCATCACATCTCGCATTTGGTATGCTTCTCATTAGTGTTAAGTCATAATCAAGGCAACACCCGCTGGGCTTACGCAGAAGCCCCACATTTCACACGGGCTGCATTAGCGGCCTCTCTAATTGGCCTGACTCCCTTGTGAGAGCTAAACGCTTCTTTTGCTGTGATTGG